ATAAAGATTATCCCTAGGGTTGGGGATAATTCGGCCAAAACCTGCCAAAATTTCATCATCCGAAGATGACACCTCATAACTTAGTTGTCTATAAGGTAGATGTAGATCATGTTGAATAAGGATGCAATATCAAAAAATCGAAATAATCCAATGACTCTTCCATGTGATTTGTAAGAATCTTTGAACTTGACCACGAACTATGCTCCCGCAGATTTTATTAGGATCAAATTTCATCACGAACCTTTGCATTAACCACAAACATATGTAGTTGTATATAATTTTGAATTAATTTTCAATCCCCTAACTTCACCATCCAATATGGTTAGAAAAAAATTGGCTTTCACAGGAAAATATTTAACCGAAAAAAATTTGTCAAAGACTATTCTCTACAAAGTCAATATTTTTGTGACTTGGAAAAATAATTGATGCCATAGATTTGATAGACAACTAATGAGGTTTATTTGCAACTAGAGGAATTTTATTAATTTCAATCTCTCCAAAAGGACTTTTATTTTCCTCATTTGGAATTACAGCTGCATCTTCATATTTGCTAGACAGCAAATTTGCTTAGGGTTCAATAGCTGAGTCAAGAAGTTCTTCAACATTTTTGGCACCTTCAACATCCTTTATACCTGCATATAAATTACAATCTGTATGTGCAGCATGTAACAAATTGATTGCAATCAATTGACTGGACATGGATTTTGAACGCGGCTTCAGTGGCATGAGGACAATATTTTTGCCATTTCGACAAAATGATATATATTGTCAAATCTACTATATGCTGCATTTACAATATATTGCCATGGTCTATCAACCAATGAGTGACAAGCATTGATGTCCAAAACATAACACAAGACTTCATATGCATAATGCCCTATTGAAAATGGAAAATGACACCTTACAGTCACTTCAACAAATTCTACCATTCATTATCTAACTAATTTTATAAGGTTCTAGATGCTCTTTAATTGAAAATTTTAAAAAATTCATTATGATGTTAGAGATAATATTTCAATAATTATCACGATTAATTACCAAATTCAAAATGTAATTAAAAGTTTTGTTTTTGGTTCGGAATAGTTGCTGTCATTGTGTCTCATCCTTCCTTAGCAAAAAATTGCGAACCACATACATAGGTTATTTGTTCTAACAAAGATTATCCCTAGGGTTAGGGATAATCCCGCCAAAACTTGCCAAAGTTTCATCATCAGAAGATAACGCCTCATAATTTAGTTATCCATAAGATTGATGTAGACTATATTGAATAAGGATGTGATCGTGAGCAACTCTCTTAGAAATTTCATCATTTTTTCTGGATCCAAATTATAGTTGAGCATTACAACGATCATCATGGGAGAAGTCTACTCCGATCATCAAGGTAATAATACTCATTTAATTGGTAATTTTCATTTGGAAGAGTAAATAGGAATTCCATAACTCTAAGAATCTTTTTGTTATCATTTTTACTGTTTTTATCACATGATGATAATTTAAATTTACTTGCTTACTTGTGATCGTCTAAATAATAAAGGAGTTCAATTCACACCGATAATTAATAATCTTTCTTGAGGGATTGACATCTAATATCTTTTACAGAGATCTATCGATCAATTCCGATTCTTTCTTGGCCAGTTAGACGTTGGCAGATAAGTTTCATCATCGAGAAGGAAATAGCCCGGATCACCTACTAAGACCCCTAAGTGACTGCTCAGTGACTAAACGACACACATTACAATGAAATTATTGTGTACAACTGAGTTTTTTGTCGAGTGTTTAAAAATTTGAAGTAAAGAAAGAAGTCTCGTCAATCATCTAATGTTGTGTGATTCCTAAACTATATGTTTCCATGCATGTTGCCCTATCCCGCTATATATCCTTATTGGATTAATGTGGTTATATAAAAATTATGTATAAGTTGATCATTCATATATGCTTATTGGAGCAATATGGTCATTTGATGTGAAATAAGATTCCTTGTCAATAGTAGTAGTTGGATTGTGCAGTAGAGTGACATAAAATCAATCCTTTGAGCGCACAAATCCGTCCACGGTAGCAGAAGTATGATAAGCGAATATATGAACATTCTCTACAAGAATACACTGTCAACAAATTATGACCAGGGTTTAACAAGAATTTATACTTAGGGTGCATCCAAAGTACAAGATATAAAGCCCAAATAATGACAACCGTTAAAATTTCAATAATAATGTCAAAAGTCGTCAAAATAAATCTTAGGATAAAGTATTCTAAACTAAAAAAAAAAGAAAGTACACTTAAAATCAGAAAAATAACTAAAATTTTGCAATGTGCAATGACCATGGATATGTAGACGGATCCAAGTCGGCTAGGTGTGGATTCGCCTCACGGATCCATGTCATTGTTGTCTACTTTGGATCTGGATCAAAAATCCAGTTAGCTGAATAGCCTTTTTGAAGTGGATCCACAGATAGATACATGGGTTGAGAGATGGATCCGTGCACATTTTCCATTGCTCCATTGCACGATCCAATTGCTACTATTGAAAATAAATCTCGTTCCACATCAATTCCCGTACTTCGAAAGAACTCAACCTTGAGTTCCAAAAAAAAAACTGCAATATCAGAAAATCGAAATAATCCAATGAATCTTCCATGTGATTTGTAAGAATCTTTGAACTCGATCATGAACTATGCTCCCACAAATTTTATTAGGACAAAATTTCTTCACGAACCTTTGTATCTAACCACAAACATATGTAGTTGTATACAATCTTGAAATAATTTTAAATCTCACAACTTCACAATCCAATATGGTTAGAAAAAATTTGACTATACATGTGGAGATGATTTAAAATTCAATTTTTTCAACCTTCACATGAAAATATTTGACCGAAAAAAATTTGTCAAACACAATATTCTGTCCAAAGTCAATATTTTTGTTGTTTGGGAAAACAATTGATACCATAGATGTGACAGACAACTAATGAGGTTTCTTTGCAACTAGATAAATTTTATTGATTTCAATCTCTCCAAAAGGATTTTTATTTTCCTCATTTGGAATTACAGCTGCATCTTCATATTTGCTAGACAGCAAATTTGCTTAGGGTTCAATAGCTGAGTCAAGAAGTTCTTCAACATTTTTGGCACCTTCAACATCTTTTATACCTGTATATAAATTACAATCTGTATGTGCAGCATGTAACAAATTGATTGCAATCAATTGACTGGACATGGATTTTGAACGCGGCTTCAGTGGCATGAGGACAATATTTTTGCCATTTCGACAAAATGATATATATTGTCACATCTACTATATGCTGCATTTACAACATATTGTCATGGTCTATCAACCAATGAGTGACAAGCATTGATGTCCAAAACATCACACAAAACTTCATATGCATAATAGCCTATTGAAAATGGAACATGACACCTCACAGTCACTTCAACAAATTCTACTGTTTATTATTTAACCAATTCTATAAGGTTCACGAAGCTCTTTAATTGAAAATTTTAACAAATTCATTATGATGCTAGAGATAATATTTCAATAATTACCACCATTAATTACCAAATTAAAGATGTGATTAAAAGTTCTACACTTGGTTCGGAATAATTGATGTCATTGTGTCTCATACTTCCTTCGCAAAAAATTGCGAACCATATACACAGGTTGTTTGTTCTAACAAAGATTATCCCTAGGGTTAGGGATAATCCCGCCAAAACTTGGCAAAGTTTCATCATCCAAAGATGATGCCTTATAACTTAGTTGTCTATAAGGTTGATGTCGACCATATTGAATAAGGATGCGATCGTGAATCGTGAGCAACTCTGTTAGAAACTCCACCATTTTTTCATGATCCAAATTATGGTTAAGCGTTAGAAACTCCACCATTTTTTCAATGATCATTATAGGAGAAGTCTACTCTGATACCAACTGACGCAATGGCAGAAGCTTGAGAAAAAGAGTTACACAAACACACTCTATAAGAAAAACCAATGGTTGATACAAGACCAAACCCCAAAATATCACAAAGATTCAACAAGAATCTAGACCTAGCCTGCATCCAAAGAAAGGGTATAAAATCCAAACAACATGACAAGCATTAAAATTTCAATAATAATGTCAAAAGCCCTCAAAATAACCATAAGAGTGGCTATTTATAGATTACAAGTGTTCTAAACTGAAAAGGAACGAAATTACGCCTAAAATCAAAAAATAACTAAAATTCACAATATGCATCGACCAAGGATCCACGGATGGATCCAAGCCGACAAGGCACGGATCTACCTCGCGGATCTGTGTTGCTACTATCTGGCTTAAATCTAGCCCTGCAATCTGATGCTAGATCCAAGAGTAGGATTGCCTTTTGAAGTGGATTTGCAGGCAAATCCATTGGCTAAGGGATGGATCTGTGTGGATTTGTGCATGCTCAATGCAATTTTGCAGCTCCAACGATTGATTTTCCGTTGCTCCATTGCGAGATCCAGTTGTTATTGTGGACATGCAAGAAATCTCATTACACATCACCATTTGAAAGCAATGCATCTACAATCCAATTTCTAAACTAAGAAGAATCGCTGTACGTTTGAGTTGGAAAGCTTCCCTATCGATCTTTGGTTAAACTTCAATTTGGATGCTTGAACTTTAATTTTAGATACTTTATCCCTTAAAGTATGAAATCTATCATAGTTTAGTCATTACACATTAATGTTGGATAGTTTATCCTCTAAAGCATGAAATCCATTCCACATTAGTCCTTAAACTTAAGTAAGTTTACGGATTAAAGTGAAATGGATTTCCTATGTTATGAAATAAAGTGTCCAACATCGAACTCTGAAAATTAAAGTGAGAATGTGTTTATAGTTTGAAGGTCTAAAATAGAATTTAGCATTGATTTTTTCTTTAAAAAGAGATAGTAGAAAAATCAAAAATTGGCATCATATTACGACAAGTAGAAATCCCCTTTATTATGCAGTACACATCGTGCTTTAGATAGTACAAACAACATAGCATAACACAAAAAAACCAGGAAATACATTTTATGAATCCAGCATTACTCTAAATAGTAAATGATGAATCCAGGCACAAGTTAAAAGCACACTTACAATATTTTTTGGTAAATGAACTTCACGTGAAGTACAAGAAAGTCTCAATAGCACACATACAAATAATTCTTGGTAAATGAACTTGATAGGGAAGTGGTATTGGAGAAAGTCTCCAGACCATTGAAGTCCTCAAGCGTTAGTTTCTTCATCGTTGTGGAGGAAGAACTTAAACCATCCAGCTGACAGTTTTGGATACCTTTTCAGACCATCAGCATAGTCAATGAAGTTCATACCAAAACGAGAATTAAAACCTGTGCTCCATTCTAAATTATCCATCAATGACCAGACATAGTATCCTTTCACATTTGCTCCCTTGCTGCATTAAACACAACAACATGAAAAGCCTTGAAGTCGGCCTTAATTTACTCATTCAATTAAGGAAGATGATTTAGTAGATGTGAATGTTCAGTTTCTAAGAGCTAAATGTACGGGAAAATTAAAAATTTGCGTAGGATTTATGGTCCCTAGGTTTTCTATCCATTTCTTTGGTTAAAAAGGGTACATACTTTGCAAAAGATTCTGAAATTTTCTCTTTGCTTGCTCTTGACTTTTAGTATAAGTTGGATATCCATGTAAATGCTTGTTTCCATCAACTAACTTGAACTATTAGAGGAATAAATTTTTCAGAAATTGGCAGATTTTTTTTTTGCGCCACAACTTGGCAGAATTAGTGATAGCAAAACTTGGTTAGAATTTGCAAGATTATTTGTTTAACCATACATGAGAATAGCAACATCTATTCCAAATAAGATCTCAGTGCTTTAATTTTCATCATATTTATATGTGCATAGATGGCCTAAACGTCAATTTTTTTTTTTTAAGTATGAACCATAAAATGAAAAAAATACTGAACGTAATAACAATAGTAGAAGCCAAAGATCTTACTCTATTGCTTTCTTCAGAAATCGAAGATGCCTGTAGTGATAAGATATCCTTTTGGGGTCAAAAAAAGCTAGCCAGAAAGACAAGTTCTTTTCATTGAACTCATCACGCCCTGCAAGATATGCATATATAGGTCAAAGATTGTTTACGGAATGTGCAATTTGTGACAACTTATAGATGGTAAGATTTATAATTGCAAATATCATGCAACAAGCAGCGCATTTGGTGGAGCTTAACATATTGTATCGCCAGAAAACAAAATTAAATACAGTGCCCAAGATACAAGTGTTCTATTAATTAATCTCCAAATAACATCTTCCATTTCTTTAAACCTACTTAACAATTAATAGATTTAAGGGCAAATTACATTTTACCCCCCTATAGTTTAGTATTTTTGTACATAACCCTCCTATGGTTTCAAAAGTTATATCCCCTCATAGTTTAGATTAAAGTATCAAAGTGATGGAAATGATCATTTGTAACGAAACCATTAAACATGTCAAAATTACCCTTATTTAAAAATTAAAATGACTGATGTAACCAAAATATATAAACATAATATATATGGCATACTAATCCCGTATGGTTTTATGTTTTACCATATAACTCCCTTATGATTTAATATTTTATCATATAACCACTTTATGATTTTCAAAATATACACATAACCCATCATATGGTTAATAAATAATTTTTAACTTTATATAGGGGTATTTTTGAGATTTTAAGCGATTCAGTTATGGATTGCAAATTCCATTAATTTGACACTTTAATCCAAACCATGATGGAGTTATGTATAGCTTTTGAAACCATAGGAGGGTTATGTTCAAAAATACTAAATTATAGGGGGTAAAGTGTAATTTGCCCAGATTTAATAATCATCTAAAAGTAGTGAACCAATAATGCAACTAACTAAGAGTCAATTAACATACCATTCTCAGTAATGTAAATAGGGGGGTTGTTGTATTTCTCTCGAATGTAATCAACATGTTCCAATATTCCTTTTGGATAAACGTAGAGCCAGTCAGAAGCAGCCTGCAAAATGCTGAGATAGTCATCATATTGTGATAGTGATACAAGGACAAAAAAATGCTAGCCCTTGTAAGTGTCAAAAAATTTGTGTTTATCTCTTCAAAGTTTTTCATTGACATGATATGACCCATCCACAAATCAATTCTGCAAAAGCAGGCCTTCTTCATTTTTCGTTGACTTCTGTGATATATAAAAATTAAAGGAAGAGCCTTACCCGTTCTCCAATTGGTTTGCCATTACGGTAAGCTGCAAGAAAGAAATTAAGTTAATATTGTTGAGAAATATGCTGAATTACTAATCGTAATGTTGGAGAGAAGTATTTAATTATCATATAGTAGACTTTGAAGTATTTAGTTCTAAAATTGCATTCCGATTAATGATGAAGGTAAAGGCATTGGACTTACGAGTGCATTTAGCCCGAGAATCCAAAGTGTAAGGAGGACCTGGTTCGTTGAGCACATAGTTAGCAGTGTAGTAGTTGAATCCCAGGAAATCATATGATCCTTTCAAGAGTTCTGATTCCGGTTTAGAAAACTTTGGAAGTCGATGGCCTACAAGAGACCGCATTGAACTTGGATAGTCGCCATGGGTTATGGGATCCATGAACCTGAAATAAGCATGACGAGGGACTTACTGTTCTTATTTGAAGAAGAATGTAGTAAGAATCAAGTATAATTTGGACTTCTATTTGTATGGATCTACAAGTTGACAAATGCATGGCATGGATGTTATACATTACCAACTTTTAATCCATATAATCAAGTTAGAGATCCTAAGATCCCGTTTTACTGATCATCTAATGGTAATTAACAAAAGAAAGCTCATGTTACCCTCAAATATATTGAATTCCATGGATAAAATAGGAGTATTAATATCATTTGTTATTAGAACTTTCGAAAGAAAGTTAATATATGAAAACTTCTTAGTCACAAATTGTAGACAGAAACATTAAGGTACCAAAAACTTCGTACTCAATAACAAAATTAAAAAAAATTAACCTCATGCTCACCTTAAAGTTTAAAGCTTAATTAGCATAATGTATTGGAATTATGAAAAATAATCGCTGGCACTCGTATGCTTTCTCACCATCCAAACATGAAGTCGATTGCCCTTTGTGCAGCATCCCGATCTTCTTTAGTATTGTGGTAAGGTACAGCCCAATTTGACACAAGTGTAATACCAATTTTACCCTTTTGGCTCCTCTGCAAAATGTAAAAAAATAATCCTCCTGTTATATTCAAAATAATAATAATAATATATCACAACACTAGATTTCATTGAAACATATTGAAATAATACACACCTAGTAAGTTATAGGGATAATCTTTAAGAAAGGTCCATTTTAGTTACAGAAATTGGTAAATCCTCTCTAGCTCTTCAGAGTGTCAAAACAGCTTGAATTAACTCTGAGGAATAGCTTAATTTTTTAAATTTTTTTTTCTAATAAAGGAGAGGTGGGATTTAAGAAGTGGAAAAAGGGAGGGGGATTTGAATACAAGACCTCTAATTCCTTAGGGTTCAAACTTAAATTCTCAAACAGATAGATTATTAATTTAAACTGATTAGCAGATGCATCATCTAGGTACCAAAATTTATCATGATATCCAAACTCAAACCTGATACTTCTGCCTGTATAATTGAACAGCAGCAGCATGAGCCAGAAGCTGGTGGTGTGACACTATGTATGGCTCAGTGGCGGCGTTCCCTTGCTTGGGAGCACCAGCAAATTCCGATGCTTGCTGTGAAGTTGCCTTGCTTGAGGGAAACTGGAATGCTATGTCAGTTCTTGCATTAGAAGAATCTCCACGACCAGGTGCCAAAGTGCCCGTTGCGTACCCTCCCACACTGAAGCTCCATGGCTCGTTGAATGTTATCCAGTGTTTCACTCGATCACCAAGTCTGCTGAAGCATAGGTCTACGTAATCCACAAAGTCAATCCTACAAAACCGATAAAACAGTATATTTTAGGCTTCAATTTTCTTTTAAGGCATCAATTTGATAAACAACTAGGGAACTCTAGCCAAAAGTGTGTGCGATTTTGACTAGTAATTGATAAGGATGTCACAGTTTTCAGCTATTCGTTGTAAATAAAATAATACGAGTTCTATATTCCGAGTGACATTTAGAATAGATAAGTCAAATTTATGCCACGCTTTACGGATCCAAGTTTCAATCACACTGTTTTTTATAAATTTTCCCGATCAAGAATCGGTGGAAGTCAAACCTTTTGTCGTATCAAATTGCTCCTCATGCATAAAAAAATTGAAGAATATGTGTATACTGGAATTTGGAAGCATAGTAATTGCAAGTTCACATACACAATCTTCTTGTCAAGAAACCCATGGTATTCATCCTCCAATGCTTGGGGTACATCCCAATGGAAGATAGTCACCATTGGCTTTATACCTGTAATTAAGTATATAGATTTTTCAAACTAAAAGCAATATGTGTATTTGTCAATAACATTATCAAGAGGATAAAATGAAATAAATGTATGTCTTTGAGGGGATGTAATTGACCGTTGGCAAGCAGCTCGTCTATGAGGCTATTGTAGAATTGTATTCCTTTCTCGTTTATCCCAGCTCCATTAGTTCTTCTTCCAGCTAAGAAGCATTACACATTTTGGAAAATTTTTATGAGCGAATTTTTGAATTTCAAAACAATTATATGGCTGATAAAGATAGAATATTCATCATTTGAACCAAAAGTTTTTCTAGTTCGAGGTCACTATGGTTCTTACTAGGCAATATTCTAGGCCATGAGATTGAGAATCTGTAGGAATCAAGTCCCATTTCCTTCATCACCCGCACATCATCCTGAAAAATGTTTAAAATTCACCACATAGTAATGATTTTCTTCGAAAGGAAAGAAAACGAAAACAAACGTAACTTATTTTCTTTCTTGAAAAGCAAAGCCCAAAATGCAAATAAGAGTTTCAGCAGTCACTACTGTACTTTGTAGTGGCGATAATGTGCAATGGCATCGAGTCCTCCAGCTTGAACAATTTCTACAATTTAAAGTTAAAATAGAACAGAAAAAATGTTATCAGAAGTCATAGAAACTGTAGAATATGTGAAATGTGGCACAAAAATTGTGCCTAATTTTGATTTCTTAAGCTGCATCCTGTTCTTGGAGAAGATTAAGATTTGACGTCAATTCAACTTAACAAAATTTCTTGGATTTGGGACAGTTGACTCGCCATTTTAATGTTTTGGAAGATTTCATCTGGAGAGTTGGTTTTTGCACAAAAAATGGTGTGTGCCCTTCATTTGTTGTGTAAATGCCAACTCTCCAGATGAAATCTTCCAAAACATTACTCTTCTGGGCAAAAAATTGATGTCTACCCTTGCAGAAAACTATAACATGTTATTGACAAAATTAGTAAAAATTTGGTCAAAAAGAAAAAAAGTAATGCGTCTAAGGGATCCTTCAGTAGGGAACACATGACTCTCTGGTGTCTCCATTTTGTGGGTTTTAGGCAGTGATTTTCAGTTAGTTCATATTAGAGGCCTATTTATAGGTGGAATGAAAGGGGGGTTTGATGGGGTATGGAATCCAATCTCTTTTCTTTTCTTTCTTTTTTTTTTTGACGAATTAATGGTGGAGATGGACACATCCTTTCGTCTATTCTCACAAGTAACCGTGCCTTTGATCGTACCGTTTTATTTATTCTTTTTTTAAAAAAAAAGAAAATGACATTCTTTGAAATTTGGACCTTAAATAGGTTTGGAATGCTATTTTTAAGATTTTTTTATAAGAAAATGTATTTTAGTGATTTGATGTATGTGAGATAAAAATGCATTAGAAAATGTATTCACGGAAGACATAAAAATTTTTTGGCAAAAGATCACAATCCAAACAATTATATTGTAATTTTTTGGATATTTTTGTAGAAAAATTTCCTGTAGCATTTTTTCAAGATGTGATGTATGTAAGATAAATAAAAATAATTAAAAATATTATATCTAATATTCTCACAAAAATCCAAAAAAAATTGTTCTACAGAAAATGCTATCCAAAGAAGGCCTAAAGTACCGGGCATGCTTGAACCCCCCCCCCTCTCTTTCCAGCTTAATAGGTGAGATTATGTGTTATTTTGAGCTTATCCTTTTTGCATTCTAGTCATAGGAAAATGGTTACTACTTAATTGGTGGTTTTAATAATTTTATTATTAGTATGAATTAATTCCAGAAGCCTTAGCTATGAATATTGTTAGCTAGAAACTAGTACTCTAGTAGTACAAATGTTGTTAAAAAATTGAAAAAAAAAAATGTATGAGGTTTTGGTGTACTAATGGAGTTTAAACGGGAAAGTTGGATGCTTTGTTTTTTCCATGGAAATAGCTGGCATGTTCACACGTAATTTCTCAATCAATGCTGGACCCTGCGATGCAGAGGCCTATGCACAAGTATGCAGAAACTCCAGTCCGTTCACGCTTTGTTGATAAGTCCGTTTACATAGAAAATTATCTGGGGAAAGAAATAATTGATTGAGGCGTCTTTGGATAGATGATTATTTGAAAAAAAATTATAACATAATATTATAATGATAGTGGGGTGGGATTTAAAAAACGAAAAACGGATAAGGGGACTGATCAGAAAGCATATTTATGATACAAGAAAAAAAAAATCATTTACATGCCCGAGATTGGATGGCCGGAAATTTCTGCTTATGTGTCTGATGAATGTTGCCATTTGTGATCGAAGTAATGGTCAAAACAAAGGTACGTTCAGCATCAAAAATTTACTCTCAGCTGACAAGCTGGTGGTGGAAACGTAGGTGAAGCAGTGAAGAAGGTAAAGATGCATAAATGAAGTTTGGTCCGCCGATAAAATTAAAGCTTACGCGTTAAGCACAGTTTGCTGCAGTTCTTCATTGCTTTGGAGAAGGTTGGAATTTGGATGCTTTTACCAAACTTGCTTTTGGCATTTTGTGTTTTGTTAGAGAACACTGAATATATTTTGATGATGACACATTAATTTTTTAGGATAAATTACACTTTACGCCCTGTAGTTGAGTATTTTTTACATAATCCCTTATAGTTTCAAATACTATACATAACTCTCTCATGATTTGAATTAAAATGTCAAAGTGACAGAAATGATCATTCGTAACGGAAACTTTAAAAAATATCGAAATTACCCTTATAAATACATGACACACTAATCTCGTATGGTTTTATATTTTATCATATAATCCCTTATGATTTAATACTTTACCATATAATCCCCTTATGATTTTTAAAATATACATATAACCCCTCTTAGTTAATAAATAATTTTTAACTTTACATAAGGGTAACTTTGATATTTTAGGTGATTTCATTACGAATGATCATTTCCATTATTTTGATACTTTAATCCAAACCACGAGAGGATTATATATAACTTTTGAAACTATAGGGGAATTATGTAAAAAAATACTAAACCACAAGGAGATAAGTGTAATTTGTCCTTTTTTAAAGTTCGTATGCTATGTGTAAAATTTTCTCTAGTCTAGGTAGAAACATTGAACATTTATATCGTTTTTTTTCCTGAGTAACATCTGGAAGAGAACATACGTCTTAAATCTTTAATTTTAGATAAATCAAGATTAAGTGTAGTTGTTAGTTTTTTCATCCAAATGGCTACACTTTTTTCCTTTTTTGGTGTATGGACTAAAAAAGCTATACGAGATAAATAACCGCTGTGGTTAGCTTTGACACGATTTCATTAACTCAAGCTAAAAATTTGGGCAAAAAAATGCATATTACAAGTTTCACTGAAGCTTTAGGCTCTATTTGGATTGAGAGTCTTTAAGGTATTTTTTTAAAATAAAATTTAAAATAGTTGTCGTTTTTAAATATTCCATGGAATGGTGCTTTTGCGATATTTTATAAAGATTGCCTCAAATTTGCCCATAAAATGACCAGAAAGTGTCAAAAATGGCCATAAACAAATGTGTTTTACCTGAAACTTTAGGGATAAAATTATCCAACACCCCAAATAATGGGGATGAAAAGTGCATTTTTCCCATCTTAATTAAGGCTAATATCTAGACTTTTTTTTCCCCTCACGCAACATCATCTGTTATTTGTTCTGTCTTACTCGAAAAGAAAAGGGAATCCCAATTGTGTTATATGAGAGATTAAAATAAAAATACGCATGTAGACTAGAGGAATGCACTATTACTGCATGGTCCAAATTTTTAATTGCAAGTGCAACATTTTGAATATTCAACCTACAACCCAAAGGGACATTAACCTCCCTTTTTAGTGGTCAACTTAGCAAAGACAAGCTGATTAAGGCCAATATTTAGACAAGCAAGCTGAAATGTTCACTAGTCCGAAGTTGAAATTTAGCGGCCAACTTGTTTGATACTAATTAAGTTCCTGCTCATAATTAACTTTTGGCATTTAATTGTCATAGAATATTTTAATAAATGAAGTTTTTGCATCTATAATACTTTGGACGAGAAGGAGAAACGTGAAATAAAAAATAAAATAAAAAAAGCCATAGAGAGTACTTTGAACAATAGAGTGGGGGATATCTTTTTTTCTTTTCTTTTCTTTTTTTTTGCTGACGGAGTGGGGGATATCACAGGACAAGAAATTAAGAATAGGCCTCAGTTTAGAATTACAAGAGAAGTGGACAACATAAGGCCTTTTTGGTACGTACATTTATTCCGTTGTAAAAATTAAGAAAAAAATTAATCCTTCTTGAGTTCATTACTATCATCTATATTTTTCACAATATTAGTAAAGTTGGAGGAATAGAATAAAAACACAATCATTAGTATAAAAATCTTGAAATTTCATAATTGGTTTGGACAATTTTGGTAAATTAGAGAAAATGAGATCTGACATTTTATCCCCTAAAAATATACTATTAATGTCTGATTTTATATCAAGACATTTATACCATGTCTGGAGAAGGCAATGGGAATGAAGGACATGTGACGCCCCCACTTCTCCCTAAGACGAACCAGAGGGTATCCGCGGGACGCCTACCCAACTCTCGCCAGGACTCAAGCAATTTTCATTCAAGTTTAATGCAATACTAGACATCACAACTAGGTAAGGCAAATCAAATAATGCGGAAGCTTTCAAACTTAACAACTTAAATGATTACCCAAACCTTACATAGAATATCCAAGGATACTTCAATTCCCAAAATATAAACATCCAGGTACATCAAATATTCCAGTCATACATTAAAATCCCAAAATACATCCAATCAAGAGGTCTAGCCCAAATTACATTAGAAACCCTAAGCCAAAAGTACATCAAACGGGGTTTCTCCGAGTTCGCTCCATGTCCAATCCTGTTAAGGAAAACAAATCTACAGGGTAAACCAATAGCTCGTGAGGCCAAGAACACACATGCGAGCACGTTGTTCAAGTAACAATCCCAATTTAACAAATAGAGCAATGAAATTTCAATATATAACAATTCGAGCGAGAAAATTAAACAAAAACAATTCAAGGATATAGGAGCTCTCAGGAGCTATTTTCCACTTGCTTCGCCACGGCTCGATCCGATACCCCCTCGTGATGACACTCCGTCATCCGAGTGGGTATTATATCCGTGGAAACTTCACTTATTACTTCCTCCGGCCAACATTCCACCCTCTCGATCTGTAACCAAACACGTACGAAAAAGGCAATACTCGTCGAGTATGCCGCACGAGATCTCAAGAGATCAAGTTTTGATTTTTGAACACGCACGAAAAGGGCGATACTCCACGAGTATGCCGAACAAGATTTCAAAAGATCAAGTTGTGTTTTGTTATTCTCTTGGTTTATCAAGCTTCTCGACCAAGCCCATGCTGGCTCGAGTTGCAAGATTGGCTAAGAGAATTGGGCGTCTCCATAAGTCGAGGAGATTCACTCCACTCGACAACACGACACGCACGGCAACACGACATGCACACGAAAACGGGTATATTTTAGTCGACGAGATTCACTCAAATCGACTTTGAAAACCAAGTTAATGCAAGTAAAATTCGAGTAAAGGAGAGCGAGTA